ACAACAGGAAAGCTGGCTCAAATTGCATTTTAGCTTATATTATCCCCATTTATCGTACTTCATAAAATCGTACAGAAAAACATCTCATCTAAATTCTATTTCACAGATAAAGAATATGAGATTCTGAGAAGTTTAAGAACTTGTACAGCACTGACAGACAATGAACACATATAGAAAGAGGTAACTGGAAAATCTTTAACTATGAAGTAAAAAAAAAAAAGTCAACCAAAATAGAGTACGCTGCACAATTTTCCTATCAGTGCTTTTATTTGGGAAGCAGTCATGTTTCTTTTGAATGCCTGGCACACAACAAGCACAACTCTAAATTTTTCCTTTCATGGACGGGATCCTGAAGGACTGTGCACCCAGAGGGGGCGAGGGCCTGCAGGTGAAAGACTTTAGAGTGCTGCACACAGCAGCCAGTCAGATAGCAGCTGCGGAACAGACACTCCCTCCACACCCTGACTCTATTAATCATCTGTGCCACATATTCCCCACCACCACCGCTGCTGGTTAAAACGCCTTCCTCTTTCTTCCCTCAGTAGATTCTTAAATGTTAGGAGTGTTTGACCCTAGGCCCTCTTCTCACTCCATATCCACTTTCTGGGCTTCATTTTCATCAAGAACTCAATACTCCCCACGTCTAAAAATCCAGCCTAAAGCTCTTTTCTTTGTTCCCAACTTATATATCCAAAAGCCTACCAAATGTTTATACCTTAATGTCCCACCAGTATTTTAAACTCTCCACATTCAAAGTTGAAAACATCCTGATGCCCAAATCTGTTCTTCTTCCTGTACTCTCTTCCTGAATGACCCACCATCTAAAAACCTGGGTGTCATCCTTGAGATTTCCTCATCCCCCACTCTCAGGACCAAGTCGAATCAATTGCTACCTGCTCATTTTCCCTTACTACAGTTACTTTATACTGTCACTTTCTTAGTTTAGACTACTAGTTACTAAGCAGCTTCCTAGCTTATCTCTCAGTCTTAATTTCTCCAAGTACCACACTCCTGCCCCACATATCTCAGATCTTTTATGGAAGTCTTTCTAAAGTTCAAATTGGATCAATTCAGCTACTCTCCTCTTTGAACCTCTTCTATGGCTCACTACCACTCTGTGGAGAAGATCCCAACTTCTTAACAAGGTTTCCTAGTTTATAAGACCCTACAGGATATACTACACTAAGGTGTTCAGTCTCATCTTCACCTGTCTACCACCACCAACAGCCCACTTTCTCCCTGTGAGACTCAAGCACCAAGTTTATTTCCCATGCATTCTGAGTTACTTTCAATTCCTCGAATATGCCATGTTATTCCCAGCAACTAGACATGAACGTGGCATCCCTGCTGCCTGGTACTACTTATCTTCTCCCTTCACCCTTATTCCCTTACTTAGTCAACTCCTATTCATCATACCTCACCCCAAGGCAATGCAAAATGACCTTACTACTAAAAAAGATCTCCAAAACTTGGTTAGCTGTCCCTCCTGTGTGCTCCCTATACTTGCCCCTATCATAGCTACTAAAGCAATGGACTGTGATGCCCATTCATTTGTTTCTCCTTCCACAACAAAATGTTAGCTCCTTGAGCTTATAGTGCAGTACCTGGCATGTAATACATGCTCTTCGATGGTTGTTTAACAAAAGAATGGAATCTGCGATATACCACAAAACTGTCTACTGTACTCTAAACTTATTACATTTCTAGTTTTATAAAGCGCCCTCAGTGATCCATCTGGAATAATAAAGGAATTTCTGAAGAGATATTATAATGGTCAGGTTTATTTGGCTAGGCTACAGTCTCCAGTTAGCAATCAAACGCTAATCTAGGTCTTGCTGTGAAGATGTTTTGTATATGTGATTAGCATCTATAACTAGTTCATTTTAAGAAGTATCCTGAATGATCTGGGTAGGCCTGATCCAATTAGTTAAAAGGCCTTAATAACAGAACTGAGGTTTCTCTGAGGAAGAAGAAATCCCATCTGTGGATTGCAGTTCAGCTTCTGCTTGAGAGTTTCCAATGCTTCCTAATCGCTTGCCTTATGGGTTTCAGACTAACCTAGCCAGCCCCCGCACCCACATAAGCCAATTCTTTTCAATAAATCTCTTCATTCCATTGTTTCTTTGATGGAACACTAATACAGGCACTTACTAAACAAAAGTATACACTAAACCAGACCCTGAATATAAAATTATAAAGAAACTAAAAAGACCAGAAAAGAAAATTAATGTTAACTGAGGCCCTGTGCTATGCAATTTACATTCATTGTTTCATTTAATCCTCACATCAATCCTATGAAAGTAGTTATTCTCATTCCTTTATTCATTCAACATATATTTGAGTGCCTATCACATGCCAATCACTGCCAGTTACTGTTTTAGAAGTGAGGAATACAACTTGAAAGCACACAGACTAGGTCCCTGCTCTCACGGACCTTGGAGTACAGGTGAAGACACTGAACCTGAGTGGTTACAGAGCCTGTCTCAGTTCACACAGCTGTATGTGAAGGTGCCCGAATTTCACCATGAGTTATATGGTTCCAAAGCTCTTGCTCTTCTCATTGAATTCCAATACTAAGAGACATGTTTATACTGGAGAGCTTAAACTGGGTACCCAGAATATGTGCACTACACAGTATATAAATTGGTTTATGTCCAGGTCCCACAGTGAATAATATAGACAGCAAGTTTCCCAAGAAAATAAAGGATGACATAATACCTAAGACATGGGGTAAGAGGTAGGAAGATTTGAGCAAGGTCCTGAAAGAACACTAGTAGGTCTTCAACTGGCAGAGAAGATAAAGCAACCTAGAAGAGGCACAGCATGAACAAAAACTGGGACAAAGGAATGTACATGATGTAAAGAAAATGAGTAGTACAGTTTGACTAGAGCAGAAAGTGTGGATCCAGGATGTGAAAGGAACTAGCCCTATTTCCCACAATCACCACGATCCCATTCCCCACCCCATGTCCACTTCAAAAATCTTCAGTGCTGGGTTTGTATGTTTTTTTTTCAGATCAATACAGTAACAACACATAAAATGGAGTGAAGAAAGTGGGGTCAGGGTGTGACTGACTTGTAAAAAGATTCTGGATTAGCTGAGGTTGGGAATGAAAAGGAAGAGAAGGATGGAAAGATAGTTTAAAAAAAAAAGTATCTAGGAAAGTAACTAAAAAAGTAATGAAAGTACTTACAGAAGTAGTGAAAGTGCTGACACAAATGTTAAATGGACTCATTTGAGGAAGTACTTAGTACCACATCATTTATAGTAGGTACTTAATAAATGTTCCTTTAAAAAAAAGCTTAACATTTGTATACTGTACAATTTACCCTTTTAAAGTGTACAATTCAATGGTTTTTAGTATATTAATAGTGTTGTGAATATATCATCCATACAACTGATTTTCAGAACATTTTCAACACCCCAAAAAAGAAATTCTGAACCCACTGGCAGCCCCTCTCCACCCTAGCCCAGCCATAAACAACCACTAATCTACTTTCTGTCTCTGTAGGTTTGCCTATTTTGGACATTTCATGTAAATGGAATCATACAATATGTAGTCTTAATAAATGCTTTTGAATCTGATTCAGAACTTCTGGAAGGAGGGCTAGTTGAGAAGAAAATGAAGAGTTTATGATGCATTACTGTGAGCTGATGATACCAATCAACTGGAGATGTAAACAGTCACCTGAAGATGCAACCAAATGTTTATGCAAAGCATTATATCTTCCAACTCCAAGATTCTAGGTCATGCAGGTAGAAAAAGCTGAAACAATGAGGGAGGTTGAAATTCCCAAGGAAAAAGACTGCACAGCACAAAAAGCAAAGAGCTGACTGCACTTAAGATGACCTTTACTTATAAGCTGGACCAAGAAATGAAAGAGAAAGAATAGTTTCAGAGGCAGGAGAATCAACACAATTACGAAGACTGAGGAACAGAAGGAGCCACCTGTAGTGTAGAAGGTTGTAGAGTTCGAGGAGTAGGAAGACTGAAAAGACCATAGGATTTAGTAACTTTAGAAAGCTGATTTCAATTGTATGTGTGTGTAGTTCAGAAAAGTAAAAGCGTTTATAAGGGAAAATGAGTAGCAAAATTTGGACTGAAAAACAGTTTAGCCTACAAAGTTGAGAACAAAAGGCAAATGTACAAGTAAAATATTTCAAGAGCGCGAAGTGTCCTTAAATATACGGTACAGTTATTTCTACGTATTCCTTGTACATATTCTCAAGTTATAAGACAGAAAAAAATAAAGAAAAAAATGTTGTAAGGACTTATTTTCTTTAAAGTGAAACCCACCAAAAAGTCTTTATCGTTTTAAAACATAGGTGTTATTCCCAGGGTTTCTATGTCACATTTAAGCACATACAGAATATCAAAAATATATATCGAAGCCACAGTTAAACTTTATATAAACAAATAAAAGCACTGCTTTCTCTTCCACTCTATGTAATGATTTTCTTTTAAGGTTGAGAAAACAGCCATGGGAATTCTCTAGGAAAAAGTATAGATAATTAGGTAGTCACTAAAAACAAAATTCCTGTCATAACCCAGCCTGACCCTGACATCAGCTCACTTTACATTGTTCGATAAATAATTTAGTCTTTAAATTTTAAATACAAATAAAATGCACATACCACACAACAGTTTTACTTCTATTTATTAATCGGGTTAATATGTTTAATAATTAAAAAAAGAAATCGGAGTGTATAAAAATAATCTAAATTTTTAAAATGAGGTTGATTCTTCAATTCATGAAAAAAGCCTTCATTTAACAGAATTTTAAAATAATTCCTTTTTACAGGAATTTAAAAATGTGATGCAATTTTCAAAAATTTGTCTATTATAACTTTTAATTGTAAAAAGTAATCCTTGGAGAGCAAACTTGCACAAGAAGAGTATCAAAATGGCTTGAGGTTACACTGAAGTAAGAGCAAAATGGGAAAATGAGAATTGAACATGAGTTTCACTACAATCATTTACAGACAAAATGTCACTTACCTTTTTAAACATAACTAGTGAGATGACTGCTGATGCTGTGAAAAGTGCTGCTATGATTATCATCATGATTCCAACAGGAATACTTTTGTTGAGGCCAGTAAGGGATGAAATCCAACCACTAGAAAGTAATAAAAGGGAAGTATAATTAGGTAAATAAATCAATGCACGCTTTTAAAAAATAACATAACGACTAACACATATTCAGCTCTTAAGAGTTCAAGTTCTTTATGTGTTAACTCATTTAATTCTCACTGTCTCATAAGATAATGCTGTTTTTAATCTCTATTGTACAGATGAGGAACTGAGTCACAGTAATATTCAGTACTTGCCCAAGGTCACAGAGCTAATAAATGGCATAATCTGAATTCAAACTCAGACACCAAACTCCATCCTTAAGTGTGTACCACCAGATTTGGTATTTTTTAAGCCTATGAGTTCATTATCACTTTCTCTTAAAGTTCATTTTAACTTCTGCTTAATTGTGGAAGAAAACCATAGAGCCAACAGTTAGAATCCAGAACATATAAAACACTTTCAAAGCTCAACAGTTAAAAAAAACTTTTCAATTAGAAAATGGGCAAAAGGCATGAAGAGACATTTCACCAACAGGATAGAAGGATGGCAAATAAGCACATGAAAAGATGTTCAACATCATGAGTCTTTAGGAAAATACAAATTAAAACCTCAATTAGATATGACTACACACCTATCAGGATGGCTAAAATAAAAAGAGTGACACCACCAAATGACGATGAGGATGTGGAGGCTGAATCACTAATATATTGTTGGTGAGACTGTAAAATGGTACAGCCATTTTAAAAAACAGGCTGTCAGTTTCTTCAAAAAACAATAAATATGCAACTTCCATAAGAACCAGCAATTATAATCTTGGCTATTTATCACAGAGAAATGAAAACTTATGTTCACACAAAAGCTTGTTCACAAATGTTCAGCTTTATTCATAATAGCCCCAAACCAGAAACTCCACAGTCTTTTAACTGGTAAGTGGTTAAACAAATTGTGGTACATCCATACTATGAAATACTACTCAGGAATAAAAAGGAATAAACTACTAATACACAAGACAACCTGGATGAATCTCTGGAGAACTACACTGAGTGAAAAAAGCCAAAGGTTACACACTATATGATTCCATTTTTATAGTATTCTTGAAACCACAAAATAACAGATGATGACAGATTAGTGATTGCTGGAGCTGAGGAGAGAATGGGGGCAGGATGGAAGTGAATGTGGCTATAAAAGGGCAACATGGGGGATGCTTTGGTAATGGAAATGTTCCTCATCTTCACTGTATCAATGTCAAGATCTTGGTTTTGATATTATAGCATAGTTTTGCAAAATGTTACCAATGGGCAACACTGGGTAAAGGGTACCTGGGATGTCTCTGCATTATTTCTTATAACGGTATGTAAATCTACAATTATCTGAAACAGTTTAACTTCTTTATGGCTATTTTTTATTTATTAGATTTTATTTTATTAGATATTTTTATCACTAAAATTTTGGGGTGACATTGGGGTGACATAATATATTAGATATTTTTATCACTAAAATTTTGGGGTGACATAAAATCAAATAGGTTTTGTGTACAATTCAGTAATACATCATGTGTATATTGCATTGTGTTCACCATCCAAAATTAAATTTCCTTCCACTACCAAATATTTGACCCCCTTTATCCCTATCGACCTCCTCACTCCTCACTCCCCCCTCCTTCCCTCTGGTAACCACTTTTTTAAAAATCTGCTCATTTACATGAGATCTACCTTAAAACAGGTTGTCCTGTATACACCCCTCACTAGCAGACTCCTGTGCTATTTCATCACTACATACACTGTTAAGTTCAATTTTTAACACTTTTTTACGTTTGCACTAAAAAGCAAAAGAAATTACTTCAATTTCATATGAATAAAAAACTTGTGCTGTAACATAAGCAGTGTAATTTTTTAACTAAACATTTAAAACACTTCCTTTCCCTCAAATGCCAAAGACTAAACACTATTTAAAAAGATAACAAAAGCTACTTTTTTCGATAACTGATTTGAAACGTCTATATAGATGCTCTGCAGTCTATATGTCCATTAGATCTGCAAAGCTACCGACAGTTGTCTGATTGCCAATTCAGTGGTAGCATACTAAATGTTAAGTCCTTAAAACACTCCAATTACGGGCTCATTTTAGTTTATATACACAGTGAGGCAAAGTTGCCTTGTATGTGCTTTTAGCTTACAAGAATTCAACTGTATGCCACTCAGTTATAAGAGGAAGAGAGGAATAATTTTAGAGATATGTACTCTTCCACCTGTCATTTCATTCAAGGAATGTTTGCTCCAGAATGTATAAAGCGAAATATAAATCTGCAATTACCTCCTAGCCTGGATTCAAATAGTCTCCGTTTCTGAAGATCCCCAACTGAGTGACCATTCTGCCATCTGAGAATGATTCTATTATTTAAAGATACATGTATATATGTGTATACAGTGATTTCGCTTTTCAAAGACATATGTCCCTGTACCTGCGTGTGTATATGAAAACATGTTTGGATACCTAAAATAGTGCTTTACACACAATAGGCGCCCTTTTCCTTAAAATCTTTGAATTTTGGTCTCTCCCTTCCATGATCCTTGGCCCTCCTACTATCTGACCACTCCTCAGTCTCCTCTTTTACTCTTCCTCTTAGTGCTCATTACAGACACACCTTATTTAAACTAGATATAATGTGCTGTTAAAAATGGGAACAATTTTCAAATAGAATGGTTTGTCCAAAAGTTATTTATGCCTTAAAAATGTTTAAATAGTAAAAAATGCAATTTTTACTTTTGTTTACTTTTGCTAATCTGACTTTTCTGTTAACTAGTTTTAGGAAGCCAAAAATTATATAGATACTAGATGAATAGATTAACTAGAGTAAATGACTTACCAGTTGCCCCAGTTGTGAAATCCTGCAGCCTGTAGTACATGTACAGCAAACTGACAAATATAGACGAAGAAGAATACAAAAAATCTGAATGAACTGTCACTCCTTTTAAAAAATAAAGGGGGGAGGGGAAGAAGGGGAAAATGTCATTTTTCTCAAATATCTTTACATTCACATGAAGACTGACACTCAAGCAATAAAAAAATAAAAATATTTTTTAAAATACCAGTGCCCACTACCTGAAGCTTGAAATTACAATACTAACATAATAATGTATGTGGACCCTTTATCCAAATGCTACATGATAGTTATTATTCCAATTTCACTCTGTCCTTTCAATTTCCAACTGCATCAGAAAACATCCTGGCAAAAAACTTGTTTTCCTTTTATTTATTTTTTTATTAAATAGCTTCATTGAGTTATAATTTACAATTAACTGAAAATATTTAAAATATACAATTTTATAGTTTGACATATACCCATGAACCTTTTCCAATGAAAAGAAGAAATATATCCCGAGTTTCCTTGTCCATGTGAGTAATCCCTCCCTCCCCTCCCCAACCACTGCTTTCTGTCACTAGTTTCAATATTTGAGTTTTATATAAATAGAATCATACAGTATATATTTTTTCTTGTCTGCTTTCTTCCACTCGACACAATTATTTCGAGATGCACTCATTGTTGCAAGCATCAAAAAGTTCATTCCTTTTCTTTGCTGGGTAGTATTCTATTGTATACACACCAGTCTTACTCATTCACCTATGACAGACATTTAAAATGTTTCTAGTGTTTTTACTATTATAAAGCTGCTATAAGCATTCATGTATAAGTCTTCATATGAACACATATTTCCTTAGAATCACCTTGATATTTCTATAAAACCACCTGCTGGGATTTTTATTTGAATTGCATTACATCTACAGATGCATTTGAGAGATGGAGAGGTGGATGGAAGGCTCTCTCCATTTATATTTTCTACACAGTTATCATGTAATTTGTAAGTAAAGTTTAACTTCTTCCTTTCTATTGTAGAAGACTTTTATTTCTTTTTCTTGCCTGTTTATACTGGCCAGGACTTCCACTACAATATTGAAGAGAAGAGGTAAGAATGAAGATCCTTATCTTTTCTTGATCACAGGCAGAAAGCTTTGTCCTTCACCATTAAGTATGTAGTCAGCTGTTATAGTTTGTCAAAGATGCCTATTATCAAGTTGACAAAGGCTTCTTTTATTCCAAGTTTACTGAGTGTTTTTATCATGAAAAGTGATTGTGGGATTCTGTCAAATGCTTTTTCTACACCAATTAAGATGACCATACAATTTTTCTATTTTAGTTTGTAATATGGTAAATTACACTAATTTTCTAATGTTAAACCAACCTTGAATTCCTGGGATAAGCTCTACCCACTTGATTATGACATAGTATCATTTTAACATATTGTTGGATTTGATCTGTTTGGCAAGATTTTACTCCATTTTACTCCATTTTCTGTTCATCACAGTGACTATTCCAACCTCCAAAACACATTTTTCAAGGCCCTTAACATTTTAACTTACTCAATCTCAGCATAAAACTATTTCCTTCATCAGGGATAAAAATGGAAGCCATATAAATAGACCTCTTCAACTACCTACTCCCTACAATGACTAAGTTTATATATACCATGAACCTTCCTTACTGCTTATCTGTGAAGAGGCAGCATCTCTCTTTTCAAAACATTTGCATAAGAAATTTTTACTCCATTGTTCTAGGTCCTCTGGAGCATCATACTTCAGTTGTTACTGATCCTCTCCCCTTGTCTTTGCCTCTTTCACTAGGTTCTACTCTTCAGCGTATAAACACATACAAATCTTTCTCATCTTCAAAGAGCCCTCCTTTAACCCTGTCTCCACTGCTAAAACTTCTACTTCCTCTATCTCCTTCCTTCCCATCAATAATACAAGTTTTGAAGTTATAATACTAATTTCCTCTACTTCCCTCTTCTCATTCACTCCTCATCCACTGTAACTTGACTTCTCCTCACATATTCCCCTCCAGAGGTACATCAAAGTCACAGGCAATCAATTTCCAAACCAAATTTATCAAGCCTCTCTTTACTTCTTCTTGTGGCATTTGACACTGAATATCTTTCTTAAACACTCTTTGGCTTTGGCTTCCGCAATACTGCTCACTTGTCACTTCTCTGCTATAAACTGATTCTCAGTCTCTTAATTCGAGATCCGCCTCCTTTACGTCATATTGTAAAACTTTTTCTACTAGAACACTCCCTAGATGATTCTTTTATCTTTTAATGTTTGAAAACCACTGACCATAGGAAGAAGTCCAAATAATGTAACACAACATATAAACCTCTTCATGATATATATGTACAACCCTTGCTACAGCTACTCTAAACTGGAGGAACGTGTCTTGCTATCTCAATGTCTTTATTTATACTCTGCCTAGAATGCCTAACACAGTCCTCTTCTCTGCCTGGCAAACATATACTCAGCTTGTAAGATGAGTCACTAGGTCCACCTCACACTCAAACAGAGAACAATTAAGTTCTACCTCCTAGAAAGAGTAGAATCCACATTTACTATTTGGAAGTCTCCTGTAAGGAAGATTTGTCTCTTCAGCTCCATTTATTATTTGTTTTTCAGCAGTATAGATTCATGGATAATTATTTTACTCTCTGGGTTAAAATTAAACACTATAATTATTTTGTTGCTCAAATTTGTTCAGCTTTAGCCTTTTAGAATTTGTTTACTTAAGCACTTGTTGTACATTCATCTCATAGTTTCCCTGTCCCAGCTCTAGAATCAGCCATTTCTCCAAAACTCAAAAAAGCAGATTTTAATGGTTCATAAATAATGTTTGCTAAATCAGTCAGATTTAGATCAAATGGTATCACCTTATATAGTAATTCTATCAGTAACATATTACAACAAAATTGGTATTACTTAACGACCATCAAATTTAGAAAAATTATCATAAAAAATAATCAATGACAACAAAGTCCACAATCTAAAATGCTATTTTTATTAATAGAAACCTCATATCTGCTTCCTCTCTCCAGGCTCACTAGGTAAAAGAACATCACTTTTAATACTCAATTTTCTTATTGTTTTGAAGTAGATACTTCAAAATTACATTTCTATTTCCCCGTCCCTTTGGTAGAGAAGAAAGACTAAACTTAATATTCTTTTTACTTGCTAAAGTTTTTACTTTATTATTTGTGTACAGAGAAAATAGAATATCAACATCATTAAAACTTTATGTGTTACACTCTGAATAAGGACTTCATACATAATGTCTAGAGGCTTCACAACAGCTACTACCTACGAAGGACCTTTCTACTTAGTTCCAAACTCACAGATACAGTCTAGAAACCGAAACTGCCTAAAAACAACTTCCAGCTGAGAAATCTATTAGAAGGTACAGAATATGTTTTTTAAAATTAAGCAGTCCTACTTAAAAGAAAATATTTCTGAAATATTGCTTTCAAATACAAAGGGAAGAACTGCCTTTCTCTTCTATATGCATTGTTAGTATGTATAATTGTACAGTTAGATTATAAATTGATCAAATGGAAACCTCAAAGTCTTTGAAACGCACTTTGTCAAACTTTATTCTATAAGCAAGCTAAATATCTTTCTCAATAGACCTTTTCTGTTTCCGGACAAGGAGATGGTAAAATTCATTTCATTGTACACTTACCATGCTAATATAAATAATTGTTTTAAAACACTTCAAATCTATCTGAGATATAAACTCCATATACCAGCATTTACTTAACTATCTGGATTACCTAATCTGTACAAATGCAAAATCAGTCAAATTCAAATTTTAAAAAGGTTGTCTCATTTTTAACTATAGAAGTAGTCAGTGAACAGAGTTATTTATATCAAAATGATTTTAAAAGTAAAATCTAACTCTCTTGTGAAAACAATTTTACACTATGGGGTTGCATTCTCTGCCAAAATCCTAAAATTTACTAAGAATTTATATGCAAAAAACTGAGCTAGTCACAGTGCTAAAAAGCATATTAAGTATAAATAAGTTCCCATATATCAAATAGTGGAAAACCCTGTAAAGTGTAAATTAACAAACGAGCAATACGATCATCGCATAAATATCAAGTTCATTTAAGATGTTTGAGGGGGGATCAAGGAAAAGCTGAGGAGCTCTGAAAGGGCCAGAAGACTCCCAGGTGCCAGGCTGTAGGCTGAGACAAAATCAAAAAAGGTCCAGAAGAAAAAAAACATCATCAGGAGATATAAAAGAATTTCTACTGGCATCCAGAACCAAAGATGGTGAGTCTTACATACAGGAACAGATTAGGAAGTAGATCGTTTATATAACCTGGCTTGTACACAGCCATTTTTAAGTCAAAGAAGAGTAGCAATATTGTTAGAAAAACACTTTCAACTGATTTAAACTATGTCTTTTTAAATTGTAACCTACCTCGATTTCAAATGAAGTATTTATGAAATTGAATATTTATTCATAAAAACTCTACCTAAGTAATCTGTTTTCCCTGAATGAATGAATGAATAACATCTTAGCTCTTCCAGATCAAAGCCTAACTGGAAAACAGGATCTCAAATAAGCCAGTTGTTTTTGGTTTTATGTCTTCAAATAATATACTGCTAAGTTACAGTAGATCTTTAATTAAAAAAAAAAAATCCACCAAACTATCATAATAAATCTCAGAAAATAAACTTGTATAATCTTATAAAGTTTATTTTCACATAACATATCACTATCAGAGATATTACTACAATTACAGTTTAGGGAAGCAAAGAAAAGAAGGTCTTTCGTTATTTCAAAAGAGCTAACAGAAACTTTACTTTTAACAAGACATAAGGAAGCACGACTTCACTAAAATACTAATAAACATTTTACCTTTGGTAACTCAGTGTAGTAGTTCAGAGCATGTAGCTTTAGAGACAGACTTGGGTTTGAATCTAGATTCTCCCACATAAAGTTGTATAACTTCAAGCAAAATCTAAGCCTAAATCTGAGATTTCCTATTTGCGAAATGGGAACAACAGTGGAATCTGCTTTTATATGAATGAAATAATACATATAAAGTGCTCAGCAGGAGATGTGCAGGCACACAG